GCCATAGTCAGCCCTACACAGTCCAGAGGCTCCGGACGTGACACTGAGAACGGAGCAATGAGGGATGGAGTGGGGAGCATGGGTTGATTTTGCAAACTTGAGAGCTGCATTCTCTTAAAAACAACTCGGCCGGCGAACATCTTCCGCTGGTGCGCATTGCATATTTTTTAAACAATCCTCCACGTTTACCATCCAGGATTTTTTCGCTTTTTGAGGGTGGGTTGAAAGAACAACTGCAGACATCCCTTGTGTTTCGCACGAATTGGCTCACCCAAGCTCAGTGGGCGGCTACTTTTGCCCAGGGTACATGTGTCCCGTCGAGGGGGTGTGCATGTAGGCGGATGTCTTACAATTTTGGTCTGCACGTATGCAGAGTGGGTGTGTGCAAAAAGTGTGATATTGTCCCCTGTCCGCACAGGAGTATTCGACTGCCAGCTTAAAGACCCAGCATGACATGCACTGTGTTTGGTTTTGTCCTCTGGGGCAACGTCTGCAACGTTTGGGCGCAGAATGCGGGCCAGGTATAGAGTCCCGAAGGTCCTGTTCAACGACACGTACGTGCTGCCCTCATGCCCATCGGAACTTCGGAAGCGTGAGTGTCTTGAAGCCGCCAGCTTCGGCACTGGCCGAACCGGTCCTTCGCGGCCAAGAGAGCTTGATATTAATTTGGCTGCAGCCAATCAACTTTTTGAATGAGCTGTATTCCCCGTTCGTCGTTCAAGGTAGCCGTTTCTGGGGTTGCAAAGGGACGGCAAAGGGAAAGGGAGACCAGGATTCCCATGAGCCCTCCCTTTCCGACTCTCCGAGGTGAAGGAGCTTCTTGATTCTGGCCTGGAGGAGGCGGGACAGAGCGCGGATTCGTTGATGGGAGAGGTCCGAGTGAAAGGAAGCCAAGTTCAACTTGGACGTCGCTTGGTTTCGTGCCACTTTTCGTGTTCAAACTTGGAAGAACAGGGGTTCAAAACGTGTTTCTGGAAGCACCCGCAAACTCACAAACACGCAAAACATCTCCACAGAAAGCATTTGCCCGAAGTGCCGCACCAGCGAACTCATCAAGCTCCAGACAAACCCAAGCACTTTTACGCCGTTGCGTCAGGACTCTGGCCGCGAGTGGGGCATTTTCGAGGCCGGTCCGGGGCTGGGCGGAAGTGGAAGCTTTGGACTTGGAACTCAGCCGTGCCCGACTGCCCTGAGCGAAGTGTAGATCCGCATGCGCTTGATCCGGACGAGCTGTAGGAGAGGCGTCTCATCTCCTGGACATCGGGGTTTGAGGCATGTCCTTTACGGTGTTAGTTTTGAAGTTCGATGGATACTGCTGAGTTTTGTGTGGCCCTTTTTGTTTGCTGCTTCGCCCCAACTCATAACCCGCGATGGTTCCTTTTTCCAGACAAGGTGTGGACGCCTCCTAGTCCATGTCTGGCAGTTTCGCCAAACCGCCCCGATTGAAGCCGCTCTTCTTCTGCCAACAAAACAAACCGAACGAAATGGCAAGACGCACAATTTCTGTTGCCAAGTCTTCACTTCCTGTAGTTCTACGGATTGCCCTTCCAAATCTTGATAAAGTCAGCAAGCCAGAAACAGCATTTGTTTAGACGATCAAGGCTTGGCAAGCTCATAGACTCATAAAGGGCAGCCTTCAAGGCCAGTCCCCCCAAGCAACACAGCGCGACCAGACAAATCATGGACCTCTCCAGCGCCGGACAATGGTAGGATCGGAGTCCCCTGATTTATCCGGGCCTCAGGAAGGATGGCGGCACAGCCGATGACAACTTGGCAACCCTCTCCAAACTCCCCGCACACATAATCTTTACGATAATCACAAGGATACTCAGCGAGATGGTACTGTGTGGATGGACGAACTCCTGCACCAAAAACAACAACTGGAATGATGATTTTGCTGTAAATACCAACCAGCTTAGTGTACCATTCCGGTACGTTCGGTGCGTTCGGCCGGTACATTCGTGCCGGTACGTTTGCTGCCGGTTCGTTCTGCGCGTTCGGGCGAAGTTGGCTTTTTTGGCAGTGATGGCAAGCACAGTCTATTCCAGGGCAGTTTGCTTTTTGATCCACCGGGAAAAGCAAATTTAAGGTGAAGACAGGGCACATGCAGTCGACCACTTTGCTTGGGGACCTGTGTTTTGCTTTTTACCGCCCCCCCAAAAAATAAGTTGCTAGACGGGGCACATGCAGTCGGACCCTCCTTGGGGGCCTGTCCTTGGAAACCAGTTTTTTTCTTTTTCCCGGCCCCCCAAAAAGCTATTTTCCAGACGGGACACGTGTAGTCGACAACTTTCCTTTGGGGACTTGTCTTTTGCTTTTCCCAGCCCCCCTAAGAGCAATTGCATTTGCAAGGCGGGGACTTGTTTTGTTTTTTGATTTTTGCTTTTTCCCGGCGCCCCAAAACGCAATTGACTAGACGGAGGGCCACTTGCCTTGGAGGTGTTGTTTTTTCGCTTTTTCCCTTTGCTTTTTGAGGGCCCTTGAAAAAGCAAACCGGGGATTGCCTCTTCAAACCCTTTCTGAGGGCCTTTGAAAAAGCAAGCCGGCAAGGGTTCCTTCTTCAAACCCAGTTGGCGTTCACAATTTTTCTTTTTGAGGGCAATTGAAAAAGCAAACCGGCAAGGGTTCCTCCCTTCAAACCCGGTTGGCGGTTACCATTTTGCTTTGTGAGGGCCCTTGAAAAAGCACACCGGCAAGGATTACCCCTTCAAACCCAGTTGGCTGTTTCCATTTTGCTTTTTGAGGGCCCTTGAAAAAGCAAACCGGCAAGGATCTCTCCCTTCAAACCCGGTTGGCGGTTACCATTTTGCTTTTTGAGGGCCCTTGAAAAAGCAAACCGGGGATTGCCTCTTCAAACCCTTTCTGAGGGCCCTTGAAAAAGCACACCGGCAAGGATTACCCCTTCAAACCCAGTTGGCTGTTACCATTTTGCTTTTTGAGGGCCCTTGAGAAAGCACACCGGCAAGGATTCCTCCCTTCAAACCCGGTTGGCGGTTACCATTCTGCTTTTTGAGGGCCCTTGAAACAGCAAACCGGGCATTGCCTCTTCAAACCCTTTCTGAGGGCCTTTGAAAAAGCAAACCGGCCAAGAGCCCGGCAAAGAGTACTCCCTTCAAGCGCAGTCCCTTGAGAAAGATCCAGTTTTTGCTTTCTCTCGCTCCCGCGAAAAGCAAACAAAATGCGACGTCTGGAGTATTGATGAGCTGGGAACTCAAACCAGTGTGTTTGCTTTTTGCGGAGCTGTGTAAAAGCAAACAGGCTCTGAACGACATGCAAAAACGGCCCGGCAAGATCTCCGTGACGATTCTGCCTTCGGAAAGCTCGTTCGTGCCGGCACGTTCTGCGTCACGTTCGGATTGTCCACTAAGCCAACAAGCAATGATTTCCCCATGGTTTTCAAGTGGTGCGAAATGGATTGCGCCCATCCACCGCTGCACCCAATCGCCGCCAATCCGCTCCAGGCCAGGGCCGCGCGGTGGCCCCTTTTTGCTTTGAGGCGCCGGGCTCGGAAGCTTCGCCGCGCGAAGCTTCGCAAGTGCCAAGTGGAATGCCCGAGCCAATCCTTCGGGATTGGTTTTGGACATTTTACCACGCTTTTGGCTTGTGGATTTGGTTTTGGTTTTGGTCTAAGCTTTGAAGAAGAATCAACCAGATTGTTTTTGGTTTGTGGTGTGTAATGAACCCTGGGTAGATTATAGCAACCTCCCCAATTCGGTTGCAAATGCGATCATTGGATAAAGGGCCTTTGCTTGGGAATCCCTTGGTGTCGATGCGAAATGCACCGCTGGGCCATGGATGCATCCATGCCTATGGGACCAGTGTGCGCTTTGACCTTTCTAAGAGCGCATATGATGAAGGATGGGACCGAGGGCACATGCCTTCCGTTTTTGTTTTTGTTTGAGGTGCTCCAGGGAACAACCACGCCCTTGTGTCCAACGGAGTTTGAGTGGGTCATCACTTTCGTACCTGCAGGGCGTGCTTGATGTGCGTAGGCCTGTTCTTGAAAGGGCGGCAATTGCATGGCTGTGAAACCAATGAAGAGAACACAACCATGTATGATTTGAGCTTCATGTGCCTGATGGTATGAATTCCAGGGTGTAGCAAGTTGAGCTCTGAATTTGCTAGCTACAGTGTGTTTGTCTTTGACCGCCCCCCTTTGTTTGATAGGTTTAAAAGGTGCCCACACAAAAAACCTGCGGGTCCCATTTTGAGACAAACCCATCTGCTCGTCTCGAGACGGATCGGCTCGAAAGCTCCCGGGCTTGGGGTAACGAATCGCATTTTGGGTCGGTTCCTGATTACAAGAGGCTTCCCCCAACCCCCCAAAAAAAAGGTGCCAGAGAGTCAGCCTTTGGGTTGCATTATGTTGCATTCCCTTGTAGCCAGGTGGCCTAAGACCCCTTGGCGGAAGAGGCAAGCCCATTGGCGAGCCAAGGCCGAGCCTTTTGGACCTCACCTACGTGCGGTCCTTGGAGGCGCCGCCTTTTTTTCGACCGGGAGACCAGCCATCCGCTCCTGGGGCTTTTAGGTCTTGGTTGGTTTAGTATTGGTTACCACCAAGAGTGGAACCTGTTAGGCGCCCAGTGACAAGGACACCCATGACACCCTTTCCCCCATGTCCGCCGCAGAATGCGTTGGCATTTGGATCTCTGATCCGAACAGGACCACGTCGGACGGTAGAAGGGTGTTGTGGGGTTGATCAATATTCCTGGCCCCAAATGACCATGGGTAGCTTTTCCCGTTGAGTGAGACATCTTTTTTTTAGTGGTTTCCGCAATGAACAACCTGTCAGGTGGACAGCCCTCGTTTCGGACCGTTTCGCGGGTCCCGGCAGGCCCCGAAGATCTACGCAGGGAAGGCGGCGCGGTTTGCTGAGGGCGGGAGTGGCCACAAGGACTCCGCGGGTTTTTTTTGAGCGCGTGGTTGGCGATGGCTTTGGTGGCGCGAATTCATGAAGGTTCCTGTGGTTGGGACTTTCGGTTGGGGAAGTATGGCTCATGAATTTTGAACATCCAGACTCCAGACTTCTGGGAAAGGCAGCCGAACCATTCTGGGGTATGAAAGAAAATGAAGGCCCCTCAGGGTTTCAACCAAAGGAGATTGGAACATCTGATTGGAACCCTCCATTCGGTGTTCTAGTATAGGGAATGAAGCCCAAAACAGCCATAGGACCTCTGTTGGCACGGCGAGGGAAGGTTCCCGGAAACGTCACTGGAAATACTGCTTGACATGACATGTGGTGCCCCTGGAATGACGATTTGCAGAGATATTCAGGATGTTCCCTTGCTGAAGTTAGGCCATAGCACCGGCCTACCCCAGGACCAAGACGGCTATGACCCTAGAACCTGCTGGGCAAAGGGCCTGAGCAGGGCACCCTTTTGGGTATGCTGATCCTCTTTTTGTAGCGGTCAACATGGTCAAAAACGGGTACTCCCAATGCCTTGCGCTTGTCAATGGAAACAAGGACTTTACGGACCTGGGGTCCGTATCCTGGTGGTGAAAATTTGAGCCATCCCCATTTCTCGCTGGTCAACCCGTTTGATGGTCCTGTGATCTTCTGATTAAGGTCAACCCAGAATCAAAAAACAAAAAGAAACGCCTTTTTCGACTTTGATGCGGTGATGTCCCATCCGGACTGGGGAAATCACCGCGTTCCAGCAAAACCCAAACGAAGCCCAAGGGAACGTCCAGGACTTCCGCCGCCGGGCGCTGGAATTCGCGGTGCGCTGGGCTCGCCCGAGCCTCGGACCTCCGTGGGCGGCGAGGGCTAAATGTGTGTGTGTGTGTGAGGAAAAAACTTTCTGCCCGCATACAACAAGTTTGCGGCAACGGAATCGCAGGGTTGCATTGCAGGATGAGCCTCCGGGCGGGACGCAGCTCGCAGAGGTCATATGTACTTATGACAGCGGTCGTCATGTCTTCAGTTTGCAGCCAGAGGCCGTTTAAAGTTGCATAAATGAACTCGTGTTCGTGCGAGTGGGAGTTCACTCCGCGGTCTCAACCTTTGCATGGAAGTGTGCAACGCTGCTATACCTGTTCCATGTAGCTCAATGTGTATATATGCATAATATACGGTGCTCGTCTTCGGCAGGTACGGCGTCTTAGCGGAATTCGTCTTTGGAATTCGTCTTCGGCCGGGTGCTCATCTTCAAGAAGTAATTTGTCTTCGGAATTCGTCGGGCATTTGTTTTTGCATCTGAATTTGTCTTCGGAGATCGTTACTCTATAGAGAATTAGTCCACGGCGCCTATCTTCAAGGTCAAGTTGTCTTAAAGGGGTAATTCATCTTCGGGCAATTCGTCTTCAAGCCGCGCGAGCCACGCGAGTTTTCGTCTTTGGGTTCAAATGTTGTACCCACCACGCGACCGCAATGCATATATATATATATATATACATGTATACAGAGGCTACGCTCCCCTCCCCCCCCCGTGGTGCCTCCGTTTTGCTGGATTTGAGCGTGCAGGTAGTAGGTGCAGCGTCTTGCAGGCTGTAGTTAAACTGTTTGTGCAGCAGACTTAAGCAGAGACACGCAGGCTTGCAGTCTATCATGTCCATTTCATCTAGTTTTGGACAGAGAGCAATTCCATTGCACAACTCCAAGAAAAAGCATTCCAAGCAAACATGTATCAACATGTAGACATGCTAAACGCCTCAGGAATTCCTAGAAACTGGACCCATACGGGAAATTAGGTACTCCTTGAACAAAAACCATTTTAATGCCATTTATTCTGTTGTCGGCAATAATTGCCGCTTTTTTGTTTTTTTGCACGGACCAAGCTGTCCTTCCGTGCAATGTCTTTGCGCAAGTTTCTGTGCGCAAGTTTCTGTGCGCAAGTTCTCTGAGCAAGTTTCTCCGAACAAGTTCTCTGAGCAAGTTTCTCTGGCAAACAATGGGTACCTCTTGCCACACAAGGAATGCATATGTTCTGGATTCAGGATTCACAATTGCCCAGGCAAGCTTTCTCCAAAATCTTGACTCCAGAACAAACAAGGCCATAGAGTCAGTTTCAGACTATAGTGTAGTGTATGAAGTCATGCTACTCTGGTTTTGGACGGAAAGCAATTCCATTACAACAAGAAAAGATAACAAGCGTTCCAAGCAATATGTAGACATGCCACACCCGCGGGAAATTACGGAAACGGGACCAAGAAAGGAAACTTGAGTATCCCTGGAACAAAAAGGAGAAGCATTTTCCAAGATTCAAGAATCAACATTGAAGCTTGCCCATGGAAATGGCTGTGAAGCTCTTTTGCCAACTTGCCCCCTGAAATTATGACTAGATCACAGTACTTAGATCCACAATGCAGGACTTCTGCAAATCTTTGGGGGGCATCCTCCTTGAACGTCACCCCTGAAACCCAAATCCTGGTTCTTGAACTGTATTCCGATCCTATTGTCCGGTATTAAGGAATCTGGATCCAAGATCCAAGATTGCCGGGGGACTTTTGAGGGAAATGTTGGATTCATGCACGGCCCCCCCCCCCCCCTGAGACATGAATACGAGCATTAAGGTTTCTTAGTACTGTCATGTAGATTCCAGAATGCCGGGTATTAAGGATCCAAGATCCAAGATTGTTGGTGGACTTTTGAGGGACATCTTGAATCCATGAATGCTCGCTGAAACCTTAATACCGGTATTAAGGTTTCAAGGGGGGCATTGAAGGATCTAAGATTTTCCTCAAGCGTCCCCAGCAATCTTGGATGATAGATCCAGATTCCTTAATACTGGGTACAAAGGAAATTGCATGACAGTAGTAAGAAACGTTAGCATTGGTATTAAGAACTGTGGCGCACCCCCTTATTTGGTGCCCATGTTTGGCCAAAAACATGAAGACATCCTGAAAATGGTGGCTAAAATGCAGAGAAGCGGGGGCACCCGGGGGGGGGGGGGAACCATTATATATATCACATGTGTACTCAGATGTACATTAACGCGTATACATATGAATCTACATCACATATTTCTATACTCCTTTATCCGGCAGGCTTTTGGCCAAACCGATTCCGAAAGGGCTGCTTCCGCTGTTTTCTGAGCTTTGCCAGGCGCCGGCGGGACTTATGCGTCGTTGACGCCTGGTGTGGGGCCCCGGTTGGCCGCGGGGGGGGGGGGGGGACGTCTCCTACTTGGGATCCAAGACTCCCCACCATACCTTTTGACTTGGTGGCTCCCAGCCATCCGGTTCCCTTTCTGTTTTTATATTTTGAGGGTTTAGTGGTAGTTCCATTTAGCCCCCTAAAGTTTAAACTTTAGCAGGGATCTCAGTTGATGCATCCCCACTTCTATGAAATGAATCCTCATGCGATGAGATATGTTGGATAGGATAAGCCGCTGCATAGGCAGCCTTTTCAGGTCAGCTTGGTTGAACATAGACGGATTGCCGTTCATTTTCAAAGGACATCTAGACCCCAAGATGATTTACAAACCTGGTGGACGAATAGGAGGGCCCCCCCCCAAGCAAAAGCCCAGGTATTCCCAACCCCCCGAATGCAGAGCCCCAGCCCCAGCTCCGAATCCGAATTTCGTGGCCGAGACCCAGCTTTGCGTTCAGCTTTTTTTCCCTAGGGCCTGGTTCCCCCGCCATTTGGGGAGTCGGGAACAAGGGCTGCACGTTTGGGGCGTCTTTTGGCGCTGCCAGCTTTCAGGGGATCCCTCTAAAGTATTCGCCCTTTCCAGGAAATTCCCTTTCTTCAAAGGGTTTGGTGACAGGAAAATCTACAGGAAACGGCCCCAAAACACCCTAAATAAGCTGTTTCCTGTAGAATTTCCTGTAGCCCAACCCTTTCTTTTTTTAGGGCCATGCTGTTGTGGGAAGGTCCGTGACACTCTGCAGGGATTGATTTCGAGTGCTTTGACATGCTGACATTTCGTGCGAAATTCAATGGGCATTGAACAATTCGTCAGCGAACACGGGCACAGCGTTCGGCCAATCATTTGTTGGATGGCGCCTCACTTTTTTCGGTCGGGATGAATAGGCAAGCCCTGAATCAGGTTGTGCCTGTCACCTCCTCTTTTTTCCATGTTTCATGGCTACAGCATGCTCACACAGCTGCGATCAAGCTTCGGAAACGCAGAATCCCAGTTGGTCGAACTGGCCAAATTCCACCGCCTTTAGCCCTAAGTTGAGCAAATTTCGCTGGTCGGGTACCTTGTACCGAGGTCTTTGTTGAAAAGCTCGACCTGCTTCCGGATCACACTTTCAAGCTCCGAAGGGAGCTGGCAGGCTTACTGACCCGGAGGTTGGAGGTTTTTCCGCGCGCAGAGGGTTTGACGCGTGGAAACCACTTTTTTTTTGCATGCCCTCCAAGAGGGCGTGCTCTTCTCCATGGGTGACATGCTTTGATTCAGCTCCCTGCGAGTTTTAATTTTCGTGTTTTCACCTTATATAGATTGCACAAGTGGCAAGTAGAGGGGTGGCGAGTGGAGTTCGTTTGACGCGCAAAAAGTCTGTGCACTCGAGGGCGAGGGAGGAAGACCAGACGCAGAACTCGGGCTCAACTTTGTAAAAAGGTTCTTCGGCACAAATACGGCGGATTCGTCTAAGGATGGCAAAGGAGCCCGGATTGTTTTCGACCTCGAGAACATGCCCAAACGGGTGCGTCTTTTTTGAGGGTACCCCTGTTTTTGTGGATTTCAAGAGAAAACCAAAACAGGGTTGTGGGATCAAGGGGTCTATCCCCACTGTGCCCTTTCTGTATCACAGAAGTGGTCATTTCCCACTGCCCTGAACCAAAACTTTGGTGCAATTTGCTTGGATGTTAGGACTTTAACTTTTTGCCAACTACTGGGTTTTCCATTTAGCCACTAAAAGTTAAACTTTTGGAAGGGGAGCAGAAAGCAACCGAGAAAAGGAAAGCCAACATTTGTGGGCTCCCTAAAGAAAGACACACCAATGAGTGGTGGGAGCAGTGAGCTTGGCCAAAGACTCAGAGGGTTGCGCATTAAAAGCAACATGTGCAAATGACTTCACATGTACGGGTATATATATATATATACACTATATATATATATATATGTATGTATATCAATATTGCTTTGCTTTTTTTTTCTCATGAATGCCAACATCGCTTGCAGATACGTATGTTCAATATGATAGGATGTCATGTGAATGGCATGGGTTTGATCACCTTTGTGGCAGGGTGCGCAGATTCAGCTTCTGGGTGCATGCACGTGCTTGCGGCTTGCTGTCCATTCCGTGGTTCTCAGAAGCGCACGTCGGACAGTATCTTCCTCCAGCCTTGGCAATCGTGTGGTGGCCCCATGGGTATGAGTCGAACTCGGGGTACCCTCTTGTAAGCCAAGATGGAAGGGAATCACGGATTTGGAACACTTCGACACGTGATGAGTGGCAAGACGTGTGCAGTGCCACGCGACACCAAAGACCTGACTTGCTCGCGTGAATGCTGCAAGCTCCGCAGGACATGCTGAATGCCGCACGCGGCAAGGACGGAATGCGAGAGGGGCAGATGAGGCGCTCAGTTTTTTGCCCTGACATGGCATGCGTTTTTGTTTTTTCTTCGTTTTGTCTGTCTAGATACTGGGCCTGTAGCTTCCATGCCCTGTTAAGCCTTGGATGGTTCAACGCACTTAGTAAATAGGTTAAAACCATGGTGATAAGGGTAGTAAGCCCAGTTTGCCCAGTGATGCTATGGTCATAGAGATCCAAGAAGGCGCCAGACACGCCTTCACTTGACTCTTTCGATCTAATTGATCTAGAGTAGTGCAGTAATGCTTTGGATGCCCGTCAGAATCTGGATGCGAGCGGTGCGTTTAAGCAGGTGCAACTGCCCTTGCCGAGCAGACATCATGCGAATTGCACTTGCACGAGCTTGTCTTGTTGTGCTTGTGTCGAGCTGACTTGAGTTGTCTCGTGTTGGGTTGGGTTGTAACGTGCTGTGTGTTGTGCAGTTGGTTGTTTGTGGCTGCGTTGTGTGGTGCAGCTGATTGTTTTTGGCTAGCTTGGTGCACAGTGTGCAAGGTTGCACCTGCCCGCTGCACCAATTGCACCCATGCTAAACTCGATAGCTTCCAGACCCCGAATCTCAGCCTGGCTGGAGGCGCTTCTTCAGCTGCGGGATATCCCTCTCATGGTAGCTGTTTGCGTGCTGAAACGCCAAATGCTTGCAGCTTGCGGCCTTTTGCCCCAAGCAAGGCTTTCCCCTGATGCTTTTGCCTCAACTCAGGGCCCTCTTGTTCCAGGGTCACTGGGCTGGGTTTCTGAAAAGCCATAGAGGCGATGTTTAAAGGCGAAAATTTAATTTTTGTCTCAAGCCCTCGGCGCGTGGAAACTGCGACAGAGGGCGACTTCACCTGGAAGAGTCCAGTTTTCCTTTTCGCATTTTCCGCGGGTGACGTGTGGAACAAAAGGGCCTGGATCACGTGAAGGGGTTCGCTCCAGGAGCCTTCGCTCATTTGCCCGGCGGTCCCATCGTTGATCATCCCCTTGAAGCCTGTTGGCTGCATGGGCCAGAAGGAAGGGGGGTCCAAACAGAACTGTGGGTGTGGGTGTGGGTGTGTTCTTGTTTCACGCATCTAGCCGAAGTATGACTGGACCTGCACTCGTATCAGGTGTTTGGAGCGCGCTTAATTATGCTGCATCGCATGCAGATAGTGCAACATGCGTTTGGTCCACGTTGCATAGTTCAAGTGCAATATGTTGCGCTTGAGCGAAATGCCAACTTGACGCACATCAAGGCTGCTTTTTCTTGGGGAAGCACTGCATTTTAGGGGGAGAGGGGGAAAGGACTTGTGACTGCTGGGGCTTCTTTTTGGGGATCATCTTGTCAGTCCTTTCCAACCAATTCAACGTACAGATTGGGGTCCGGCTCCGAGCAGTTGAAAAGCTTTCCACTATCGCTTGATGAAAAGCTTTGGATTGAATTTCAGCCATCCGAGCACTTCTGCTGCTCCCTTGCCTCTTGCCACATCTTGCCACTTCCGTCGCCAGGCCAACTTGAAAGTTTTCCCGCACGCCAAGCTGATGAAATCAATGCTCTGAGCGAAGCGAGTTGCAAATGGTTCCTTTTGGTTGGACCAACCCCTACAAAGTTGGCTCATTCAAAGATCGGAGAGGGACCTGCTTTTTGATGGTCTTTACATTGCAACGACACACCCCAATCCGAGTTTCCCCAATCGGTACTCAAGGGAAAGACGGCCTCCAAGCAGCCATAGGCAAATGTTGCCTAAGGTAGCCTACTTGCATGCAGAACTCCTGGGAGCACTCAAATCCCAGCAGGGTTTCTTTTGAGTGACCCTTTGACAGGACACTTTCGAAAAGGATCCCCAGAAATTGTTGGCAACCATGGTGTTTGTGTTTTGCATGAGGGGTGAGCCGCCTTTCACCTGTTGTTCTTTTGGTTTTCTGGCTTTTTCTCGGGCTCAGGCGTGCGCTGAACTGCCGGGACCGGGCAGCTCCGGAACGAGTCGAGCTGGCAGTCGGACCTGCGGTTTCTAGTCACTCCACGAGTTCCTGGACTTTACGGATTTTTTTGTTTTCTCTCGGAAGGCAACTTAGCGGCAAACAAAAGTTTGGACTCTTTTGGCCAATCCACCCCTCTGGTGAACAACCAACCAGGCAACCCCCCCTCCAACAACATTCTCTGTCCAAAGAGCCCCAAACGGGTGCCTTTGTTTTGCAGGTCCACGAGTCCGGAAATGCACATGAGTCTGGAGGAAGCATGCTGTGATTGCAAATGCTATGGATGCACTGATGCCATAACATTTGTTGATTCACAATCACGCTCTGAGCAAAAATGAGCTAATGCCTACCACCGCAAACGCCCACTCAAATCCTTAGTCAAATGACTGCCATTTTCTGGGCGCTTACAGATGAGTACGCGGGTTGTGCCAAGCAGAAAACTTATGCAAATAGATTACGTGACCAGACAACTATGACAGCAACATTTACGAGATGCCAAAGACGCAAAAACCCTGCATGACACACAGCTCTTGGTCTGAATCGAACGTGTCTACCCCTTTTTTTTGCGACCGGCAAACCTGAAGCGCGTTTCGGGTAAGGGGGTAAGGGTTGGACCCCTTGATTGGTAATTCGGACAATGAAGAGGTTTCCGAAGGCGGCCTTGGCACTGGTTCAGGTGTCAAGGCACAAGGCTACCGGAGGAGTTTGAGGGCACAACAGGTTTGAACCAGCCTGGCCCTCCAACAAACGCCCTGAACCAACCATGAACAAAACAGCTCAAACAAACCAACCTTTCAGTCTCCACCTTCAAAGCTCACACTTCACTTGCTTCAGGGCTTGGGCCATTGACGCTCGCAGCTCTTGGAAATGGAATTCGGAAGTCGAGCAGACCATTCAGGCTCGAATTCGGGTGGACGCCTTACAGATGAATCGAAGCCAATCTGCGCTTTTCACCGGTTCGGTTTCCCAGCGGCAGGACATTCCCACGATGTGCAAGGCCATCAACACGCTTCAGATGATGTTGAGGCTTGGAGCGGCAGACTTGATGTGAAAGGTTGCGCTCGCAGTTCTGCAGTTTGCCCGGAAAAGGCAGTCCGAGTTGTCCCCTGCTTTCTGTCCCAAGGTCGGTTTCCCTGCAAACTCAACCGATACAACGGGATTTGGGTTGGGGGGGGGTTGTTTTGGCCCTTTGTTCGGTGCCTCGTTTGAACGAAATGGAATGAGACTGGTTAAATTTGACGAGCTCAGCTGACGGCGTGTGTAGAGCGAACCCACCCAACGGAAATTCACCTGAGACAAATCAACGGGCATTTTGTCTCCAGCTTCACCTGTGCCCCTTGCCTCCCTGGTTTCGCACCCAACGACTCCGACAGAGTGCCACGCCGAAGCTAAGCGGCCGTGTTTTTGGGTCGAGGAGAGGGGGGGTTTTGCTTTGCAATGAACCAGTTTTCGAGTTTCGTATATGCTCTGGTAGGGTTGGCAACTTCAAAGAGAAACCATATCAACTCAGGTGGGAAGATCCATCAGTGTGTTGCCCTTTCGACCCGTTTAACGTTTCCAAAGGTAGGAGTGTGCTTGGCTTCTCTTGGCTGTTCCTGAAAACTCCAAAGAGGTCCAAGGTACAGGACACCTCCCACTCAATGCACTTGGTATCATTTGGGTACCCCCAGGAAGGCACGCAACGGGAAAAACACCGGCCACTTGGTGGTACCCTCAAAGGGGAACCACCAGCTGTAAGGAAAAAATCGGTGG